GGGGCTGGCGGGAGGGGGCTCGGGGTAAGGGTGGGTAAAAGAATCGAAGTTGAAAAATATTTTTTTTAAAAATAAGCTTTAAATTTATTTTTTCAACAAAAAAATTGTAATTTGAAGTTGAAGGAAAGTTTTGAAAAATGTTTTTCTCAAGTTTTTAAGGAAAATCATTTTCTTTGAATTTGAGGAAAACGAGTTGATTTGGAAAACATTTTACCTAATCAAACATGAAAAAATTGGAAAACATTTTCTGAAAAGTGCTTTCCTTCGTACCAAACACACCCTTAGTTGTCTTTGTTTCTCATTGTTGTTCATCGAGTTATCGTCTCTTTAATCGATTCATGAACGAATTTTTAGAATTGAAATACTTTTTTTTATGATAACTATGGTGTCTGAGTCCATTTTCGCATATCTCAATTAATTTTACGAAATACTTGTCATTTAACTCTGCTCATTAAAATTAGGACAAGTGGAAAATTTAAATACGGAAAACCATAACCCTCAATTACTTCATTGATCACAAGAAAATACTCTCTCTGTCCCTAATTACTTGTCTACTTTTGAACTGACACATCTATTAAGAAGACAATTATTGATGTAGTAAGTTTACCATTTTATCTCTATTAATTATGAAGTAGATGAATTAAAAACTCAAGATCTTTAAGAAGCTTTATATTTTTCAAAGTAATTAATTGAGTGTATAATAGGTAAAAAAATTTATCCTTTCTTAATTTATTAAAATGTACAAGTAATTAGGATAACTAAAAAAAAATAACAAGTACAGAAGAAGCATGTGCATTTCATAAGCTAGAAAAAGTACAAATAATTATGTGAAAGCACCTAATATAAAGAAAAATAATCTACTATTGAGGTTACTTGAAAGTCGTACCAAAAAATGATATGAGAACATTTCACTCAGAGTTCACGCGGTAGAGGTAAAGCCATTTGACAGGTATTGTGATGTATGAAAGGAATATTTATCAAATTAAATACTATGGGTAGCAACTCTGTAGGCCCTAAAATGTAACAATGGTATTATTGATATTAGCTTTGCCTACTTCCCCTCGCAACTCACGAAATTTAGAAAACTTTTACCATGAGTAGTACATCTACAAGTTATTGCGAAAAAATCGATTTTTCATATTTTACGTGACACTTAATTAATTTAATATGATATTTAATAAAAAATTCTCTCATATAATTAATTTTTACATTAGTAATTACTAATAACGACATAACTATAAGAGGAGCATAACTCTCTACCATTGTCCATAAGTACTCCTACATAGTCATGATTCTTACAGGGTGTCGCAGTAACACCTCAGGACGATCAACATCAACAAAATGATTACTTATACTTAAATACAATTAATGTTATACTATTTACTTAAATAACTTTGTTTGACATTTTAAAATTAAAATTATACCGTGAGTAGAAATAGTATTTTTTTAATTAATTTGATAAACACGCATTAATATGCTGCTGTGGAACTTGATCGAATTAATTCTGTTTCAGACAGAGATAAACAAAATATAACAACAAATAAATTATTTGTGATTAAATGTTCGTATCAATGGCAGTCCCAAAATGATTGTAAGCTTAAATTAGCATACGTTTGAAGCTTAAAATGATGATAGAAGAAATTATTTACCAGATCTCATACCAAACAGAGGTAAATCAAACATCAAAGTTGAAGAAAAAAAAGGTTGATAAGTAGTTTCAAATTAAAATCGAAATAGAAGAGAAGAGAAGAAAGCTAACCATCTTGAACTTGTCCAGCAGCTGAGCAAGTAAGAAGAAGAAGAAATGCAGTGACCCATTTGAATTTTGTTGAGCTCGAAGCTATTTCCATGGCGACAAAGAATAAATTCCCTTTTTTTCTATTCTAACACTCTGCTTTGAGTGAAGAAAAGGGGCAACGGCAAATGTCCTTTTTATCCAAGATTCATGCTCTTTTTTTTATTATTATTTATTTATTTTTGTGGGGGCCTCATTCTCTTTTTGCAATTTTCTTTCGTCCTTTTCCTTTTTCTTTTGCGTTTCCATTTTTTTCCCCGTCTATTTAGTTTTCTCCACCAGTAGTAAAAGATAGTAAACAATGTAATTTAATTAAGATTAAATCTTTAAGGTAGTGTGAAGAAAAAAAAATGGTGATTTTTGAATAGATATAAAATTCAAGAAACAAAGAATTTTTTTTAATAGCCTAACAAACAAAAATGGTGTAACATATTACCAAATGACATGTTGCAATTGATGACACTGTTTTTTTCTTAAATAGAGGCATCGAGTTCAAGCTTTGAGAATGACCTTTTTTTTCAATGGTAGTGCTTCCTCCCAATGGGACCCTACGCAAATTTGAACTAATAAAACTTCAATATCTGTATCGAAAAACAAATGATCTGTTGCAATAGATGAGACTATTTTTTCCTTAAATATAAGTTTCGAATTCACGCTTTGAGAATGAGTTTTTTTTCATAGGGAGCGCTTCGCAAAGTTGAACTAATTAAACTTCACTATGAGTATCGAAATAATGCCACATAAAATAGAACGAGGAAAGTATTTAAAAAAATATATATCTTTGATGGAGCAGTATACTCCCTCTGTTTCAATTTATGTGACACATTTCAGATTTCGATATTCAAACAATTCTATCTTTGACCGTAAATTTTTCATATATCTTTAAAATATTTTGAATTGTCAATTATTGTGAGTTATAGTACATTTTACGTAGTTTACAAAAATACAATTTTCATTTTTAAAAAGTTGAAGATTTCATGCACAAATTTTCAGTCAAACTTAAACTGTTTGATTCTCGAAAAATGAAATATATCACGTTAATTGGATCGGAGGGAGTAATTTTTAAGTTACTTTTATATGCTTTTGTTTGGGATTGAAGGGGCTATGGTTTTTTGAGGTCGACTTTAAACAGCTAGCTAATTTGCTTTTAGGAGTAACTTTTTCTTTTGTTGATCAATGAATGATGAAGGATATATGCTTTTCCCAGTACAATAATAAGAAATGGTGTTTCTTAAGAGAGACTGGTAAATTAAGTTAGCGTTTGGTCATAGATTTCTAAATATTCTTGGCAAATACTATTTGGGTGAATTTTGGTGAAATTTCACCGTGTGTTTGATCATAGTATTTGAGAAATATATTTCACTTTTTTAGAAAAATATGATTTATACCCATAAGTTTTAAAAACTATCAAAATTAACCATAAGTTTATATTACAAGTCAATTGCATCTTCGTCACAACAAATAACAAGTAGTGTACATGACACTAGAGCAATGTGGTAGTTTGGAGTGAGTGCAACAAGCATCATTTCATACATCGTGAAGTAAATAAAGCACATGACTTTGTTACCCTGAGCCGATTGTTTATCATTTTCATCAACAACCATATCATCACTTTCATATTCACTAAATATTTCATTACTACTTTGGTGTTCACGTAAAAATTTATGTAATACAATGCAAACAACTACTATAGAGATTATTTTTGTAAAAAAATAAAAGTTTGGTGTAAATTTTTAATTTTCAAAAGATCCCAAATAATGAGATATGACCCAAATACTAGAAAAAATTAGTATTTGGGAATTTGATATATTTGCCAAATAATGACAAAATTGTATGGACAAATACTATTTGTCAAATTTTTCCCCAAATATTATTTGGAAAATCTATGGACAAACTCTATTCTTCTAATTTCATATTACAAGATCTTTTTGTTAAGTACATATATATTATTCTTTTGGTTATAATCTCCCATAAAAAAATATGTTGTTTTATTTAACAAAATTCCAAAAATAAATAAATTGTCTTGTTGTGAAACAAACTTTGGCCTACCACGCTCCTCTCGATCCCACTATCAATGCCAATTTCAGTTGATAATACAAGTCACATAGTAATTAGGATCCATTTGGATATCATTCGAAGATCATATTTTATTTGAATATGTAATTTAATTTTTTTAATATATTTTTATATTTGTAAATATGAAAATTATCTAAAAATAATAATAATCAATTCTTATTTAATCATATCAAACGAATAAATTATGCATTATAATTTATAAATAACGTATTAGGATAATATAAAACATCGTATTAATATAATCATCTCATATGATATGAATTATCTATTTATGTCGAGCATGAGTCTTTTAAAAAAAAAAAAAATAGCTCTTTTATAATATTTAAATTTATGAGTCAAGTTTTACATTTAAAAAAAATTAGATTCTATTTTTTTAGAGGATTTGGGATTAAAATAACAATTTGAAATTAAAGTACAAATTATGTGCAAATTTCATAAACAAATATTGATTTCAAATCAAAACTTGAAATTGAGATTTCAAATCCTTTGTTCAAACACCTGCTTAAAGATATTTTTTTTGTTTTCCACTTGTGGTTTATATATATGTTGCGGAATTCGATTAATCTAAATTTGCATCAAAATAATTATTTTTTTCAAAATTTAAACCTAAAATTAATAGTGGAATTAGAATTTTTACTTTTTTTATAAAAAAAACACAAGTACTATTCAATACCTTTTTTTTCCGCAACAATACACCCTAAAAGTAAATCATTATATGTTATTCATTTGACAAATTAAAATGAATTCAATTTTTTTTTTTAAATGTAGAGATACTAGGGGATTGTGTTATACCCACTTCCAAAATTTGCAGTGTTTTTATATAAAGAAAGCATAAAGTACATTCCGCGTTTTTTGTTTTTGGTGTTTCACTTTCTCACCTTTAGTGGGGCCCTCAACACAATGTGGGGTCACCGCCGAATTTTAGAAATTTGTGAAGAGCATCTTAAGCAATTCGGAACTTCAATTATTAATTCTCATGATTTGCTTAGGCATAATAAGTAAATATGACATTTAACTTGATGCCAATTGTCAATTACAATTTTTAATTTTGAATGGGTACAAGTTGATATTTAAATTTGTATAATACTAAACAAATATATACAATAGTCCTATATGACAATTTTGTTTTATAACGTGGCTTTCTACGTATATTATGTAGTGTAAAACATATTCCGTTGAAGCTAAGTTAAGAATTATGTTTATGTATTATGTCATTAGTTTAATGACTTAAGCTTTGGTTTTTTTTATTTATGTTAAAAAATCATACTTAAGGGACCAGAAAGGTATATTAGCACAGAACCCGAGGAAATGGCGGGAAATACTCTACGGTGTCTGTAGCAATCAAAGTTGTTCAACTTTGTAAAAAGCAGCCCATCCCTCCAAACTAGAGTATAGTACGAGAAGACTTTTATGGATCGTTTATTTGATTGGTGAATTAAATTATTTGAAATTATATTTTTAAATTAATTTCTTTTATTTAAAAAAGGGATAAGGATCTAAAAAATATCTCAGTTTTAGTCGGATTTGCTGTTGCGATACTAAACTTTCATGAGGACCTATTATCTCTCTAGACTATTTAATACCGTATTTTAAACATATATATTTGTCAGCGTGGACATAAAAAATAATGCAAAATTATAAATAGTAATGTATCCACGTGGGCACATATATACCTTTAAAATACAATATTAAATAGCTCAGGGGGTAAAAAATACGGTATTAAATAGTCTAGAGAGGTAATAGGTCCTTATGAAAGTTTAGTATCGCAACAGCAAATCCGACCAAAGTTGAGGTATTTTTCATACCCTTATCCCTTTAAAAAACAAGATAAAATAATTTTATGTTTGATGAAATAATATCGTTGTAATTAATCTTTGAATAAAATTTATATTATTATATTTTAATTAAAAGTATAAATAATTTATATTTTTAATTAAAATATAATATAAATTTTACTTTGAAATATTTCATTTTATTTCGCATAACAAAGATCCCTTTAGATGCTTCATTGGTGTTAAAAAACCATTGCTTCTACTAAAACTGCAATAGAATAATTTTAGAGAGAGAAGTAGTGAATTATTAATTTGATATTGTTAAAAACGTTTTTTTTGTCTTACTAAATAAACTTAAATATGCTTTTCATCTCGTAACAAGAGTTAAATAACTGAAAAATTCTCGTCAAGTTTAAGAGTGTTTTCAATAAAAGTCTTATGCTCCTACGAGATTTTAAAACTGATTGCTATGTCATATGGCAGATCGATGATATATCTCAATTTAGTTAATCAAATAGATAAATATTTTTAAAATTGTCAATAGTTTAAGGACAAAACTAATAATTTGCATCAAATTTAAAAATATTTTAGTACTTCTCTTAATTTTAGATTAATATGGAGAAGCCATTATGTTACCGTCCAAAAGAAAAAACAAATGCAGCCAGGGTGTTCACGGATATATTTTAATTTGAGTGCCATTCAAGTTGTTCATTATTGTCTGATAGTTTCCATGATACAAATATCGAATAAATTCTTTAAAAGAGAGACAAAAATTATCTTTTTTTTCCTATCAAGATATGAATCCAAATTTTCGAGACTTTTTATCAGTCTTAATAAGTAATTATTATTTTTTCATGTGTTTCGACTAAATCCGAATACTGTAGGGCCTATTTGGAGATGGCTCCCAACCAGGGGCGGAGCCAGCAGTGTGTCAGGGGGTTCACCCGAACCCCCTTCGGCAGAAAATCTTACTATTTATATATGGTTAAAATTATTTTTTATATATACCGTAGATGTCGAACCCCCTTCGATTAGTTCGTATGTTTACTTTTTCATATTTTGAACCCCTTATTAAAAATTCTAGCTCCGTCACTGCTCCCAACATGATTTTTTTCCAAACCTAGGACTTGACTTCCTATCACTACATCACAACTCATGTTGGTAAATATGGAGATATTAATATAATACCAATATATATATATATATAAACTTATAAGAAACACATATTTTTGATTAAAAACATGTCATATACAACACTGACACCAAAAAAAAAAC